GGGTCGCCTCCCTGCGCCTGCGGGTTATGGGGGGGAAAACTCTGACTGGTGTGTGTGCTTATGCACCCAACAGCAGTTCAGAGTATTCGGCCTTCTTGGAGGCCCTGGAAAGAGTCCTTTATGGGGCTTCTGAAGGGCACTCTTTAATCTTGCTGGGAGACTTCAACGCACATGTGGGCAATGATGGAGACACTTGGAGGGGCGTGATTGGGAGGAACGGCCCCCCTGATCTGAACCGGAGTGGTGGTTTGTTACTGGACTTCTGTGCTAGTCATGGATTGGCCATAACAAACACCATGTTCGAACATAAGGATGCTCATAAGTGTACGTGGTACCAGAGCACCCTAGGCAGAAGGTCCATGATCGATTTCGTTATCGTATCATCGGACCTGAGGCCGTATGTTTTGGACACTCGGGTAAAGAGAGGGGCGGATCTGTCAACTGATCACCATCTGGTGGTGAGTTGGGTCGAGTGGCGGGGGAAGCCTCTGGACAGACCTGGTAAGCCCAAATGTGTAGTGCTGGTGAACTGGGAACGAGATTATATCTCTTTGCTGGCCTGGGAGCGCCTTGGGATCCCCCAGTCAGAGCTGGTTGATGTGGCCAGGGAAAGGAAAGTTTGGGGCTCTCTGCTGGAACTGCTACCTCCGCGACCCGACCATGGATAAGCGAGAGAAGATGGATGGATGGATGGCATGGAAAAGCATCACACTTTCCATGTATAGTCAATACTATTTTCTCAAAGAAAGCCCCAAGGGAGCATAGCTGTACACATACCGAATATCCAGCAAAGCAATTTCAATGTCTCCATTCGCCGCAATGTCTTAAATTCATAGGAAAAGAATGTAAACACGAACACATTTAGGTAAAGAATGGACACCAACGTCTGGCCCAGCAGCAGACACATGCCGGCCTGTAAAATAAAGTGTTTGTACCTCACTGGATTTCACCTTAATCTCTACACATGCTGGGCCATGATTGGTTTGTCGTATAGCAAAACAAGCCACTATCATGCTTGTATTACATGTGCCAACTGCTAGGACTGTATTAGGAAATACAGCTTTTAGATGCGCAGCGCCGCTAGCATGGAACAGTCTACAAAAGGAATGGAAGCTAAGCAGTTTGATTCCATTTCATGTTTTTAAAGCTAGGATAGACGCTATACAATCAGAAAATATTGGTGTCTGTAAATGCTACTAGTATACAAACTGTAGTATCATATAATGTCCTTTGTTTTCTGTCATGTTTGTATTAATGTTTGGAACTAATTGAAGCAGGTCACCATTGTAAAAGAGGTCTATGATCTTAATGGGTTTTATCTGTATAAATAAAGGTTTTGAATTGAATTGAATCAGTAAAACATAATACAGAGCTGAGCTCAAAACCGTTGGCAATTGACAGGTTTTGAGCTCAGCTCAAAATTGAAAAATGTGGATCTTAAAAACAGACACCCACGCCCTAATAAAGCCCCCACATCTTTGGAAGTCATTAGTTCAGAAGGCAGGCGACATTATGCTGATGGTGGTGAAATGATAATGAGACCAGGAGATGGATTGAGTCAATATAAGTGTAATTAATTTTAAGTGTGAGGTTTATTAGTACAGAGGCAATCAGGCTCCTAATGAGGGCCTGATAGAAGTTCTTAAATACTGGAACCAGTCAAATTAATATTTCTAATAGCTTTTGGCATAGGACTCTGTTTTTTATTTATTGCACTAATGCATTTATTTGTATATTAGGCTTTTTTTCCAAACACCCGGTGATAATTTAAACAGATACATTATGTTTCTTCAAAATCATAAAGAAGAGGGAGACAAGATGCCACATATACATTACACACACCCTACATAAGTGACTATAAATAGATGTTTCAGCCCATTAAGACTCATCTTTCAAATCGTGTCATTAATTAAGCTGAGCAATGCTCTCTTTAATGAACTTGCTCAATTAAGTCTGCCCTCCTTTTTGGTTTAATCCTCCTCGCTTTAAGCACTGAATAACTACTCTTTCTCACTGTCTTTCCTTAAATTACTCTTCCTTTTGTTTTGTAGAGTACGTTCCTCATCCTGCTCTACTCAACCTTCCCCTTCCCCTTCTCCTTTGTGTGTTCGTATCAGCCATGTCGATGTATCACACCCTGAGCACCCGCAGAACAAAAAGCAGTCATTTGCACTGCCAGCCTGTTTCCTACAAACGGCAGGAAGATAGTTGCTCTCACACGCAAATACACAAGATGTTCAATAAGTGCACAATATACAAGTGAAATGCCTTTTGATAACACATTTCTCCTACAAAAATGATGTTCCTACAGTATGCAGCTAAACAGCAATCGTTTTGACCGTTTTGGGGTTATTTATCTGGATTACTGTGGCATGTTCAAAGACGTGGGTGCGTGATCATCTGAAACAAAACAAAAATCAACAACACCCATTGATTATGTTTAGTAAAACATCATGGCTTGGCTTATAGACATTTATTTATTAGGATAAACCCCTAGATAGACCATCTCGTTTTCAAGGGGGTCCACACAAAAAGCGGCTTAAAGTTGCTTATTTAAGTAAGTTAGTACATTTTTGCAGGTAGCTTTGTAGGGGATCAATAACAATATGCATATTCTAACACATTTTAATCTAAATATGACTGTTTGTCCAGCTATTATTGTCTGTTACATTCAAACATAATGATTTGTAACTAAACTTTTTTCTCTATCAGGTCAGGTTCAAACCTTCATTTATTGACGTATTTTGAGACTGCAGCATTACAATTTCCAAACCTAGTGATGGGGCGAACAATGAGACAATGTGTTTTTTTCTGTAGTAGTAACGGCAAACATGTATTACCTCTCAGGGCTTTTTCACACCAGCATTTATTACATAACAAAATGTATAATTTGGAATGTAATGGCACACATATTTGTAACAAAAAAGAAACACATTTCACCTTGGCTGCTTTTGTTAAGACCTGAATTAATAGGTTGGAGGTACGAATTTGAAGTCGATGGTCAGGCATTGAAAGTATATGATTGGGACAGGGATGATGTTTGCCCCATCTGCCGGCCAATATCTCTTGTAGTTTAGCCAAGCAGGTGATCTTTTCATATTTCTTTCATGTGGCACAACAGTATCTCTCACAGCAGGACAGGCAGTCCTTGAACTTCTTATGTGCTCCGCCACAATCAGTGTGTGGATGTGTGTGTGGGTGCATGTGGTTAAAAAAACATCGTGGCAAAGTGCTTGTAAGGTTTTCAGAAATCATGCTATATAAAACAGTCCCATACCTTGGAGACAATTTTGAGTAGCAGAGAAAAAGTGTTCATCACTGTGCTTTCCAATAATACATTCAAGCTTTTAGAGTAAAGCCCCTGAAGAAAATATAATTATCATGTCAGTTTAGCATTAGCTATCTGATGTGGCTTCACAGGTAGACCACACAAAGTCATTGACAAGCCATTCCATCTACTAAACACTGCATTTTGATGTAAGTGACATTTATACATTTAAAGAAATCGTTTTTCTTTTTAGCTTATTGAATATGTGTTTATGTAAAGACTTTAAGCAAAAACTGAAAAAGAGGATTCAATAATTTAGTCGTTGTCGTTGTGCTGCCCCCTTGATGAATATAAGGCCAATATATACTCTAGTGTTATTTCTGTTAAAAAAAGAAAACGTATTCTCTTTTCTTTTCAGCAAGTAGTTTTAACTTCATGAGCAGTGGCCAACACCATAGTCACTTGATATTTTTTGTATTTAATACACATATTAATAAGGGCATTTTTGAAAAGGCAACACTTTTTGCCAGTCTTGCTCTAAGACATGTTTTACCCATGGTGCCTCTTCATATCCATTACTTAAAGGTCCCATGTCATGGCCATTTCCACTGATCATAATTCCATTGTTGAGGTCTACTAGAATAGATTTATATTGTGCAATTTTCCAAAATCACTTTGGTTTCTCAAACAGCATCTCTGTAAACTACGTGTATTCACTGAATTTCACTCTCTGCCTTTAACGGCTCGTTGTAGCTCCAATAGCTCCAGTCCCCACCCTCCCTGTGAGCACAGTGTGCTCTGATTGGTTGGGACGTTGTGAATCGAGCTGAGCTCCGTGGAGGTGTGGTTTCCTTGTTTAGCGATACACAGCGAAACACAGCCAAACTCACCCTGAGCACACACAAAGTCACAGTCGAAGTAAAAACAATAAGTGTGGCTTGATATTGAGTAAGAAAAAGGTTGATAAACGCTGTGAGAATGGGTCAGCAGAGAGAATTTCGCCGCGATTCCAACTGTCTGTTATCAGCCTGCAGCCAGGGAGAAGAAATCAGCAGAGCTGCATGCACTGAGTGTGTGAGGAAGTCCGTGGATTGGTCAATTTGGACCAATCAGCGGGGGCTTAACGTAACGGCTCCGTGGACGTAACGTAACGGCTCCACGGATTGGTCCATTTGGTTCCGGGTAACGCATGACATCATGAGTTACCCGGAAGAATGACGTATCTCCAACGAGGCGTTTTGGGGAGGTATTTTCTGTGTTAGAGTTTTACTCGCTACAGGGTGTACTTTGAGGGTTTCGACTCTGCAGACCGTTTACATGCATAAAAACCTTCATAACACACAAGGGGACGGGTAATAACCGGAAAAGCAGGACATGGGACCTTTAACTCTGATACTTTAACACCTTCATGGAGAAGCTTTTCTTGTAGATGATTACCACTTAAAAAGCGGTGTATCAGGTAATTGGCCAATTTTGGTGGCACAATATTGTCACTTCAGATCTTGGGTTAATATTTTATCAAGTTGCCCCATGGCACTTCACACAGGGAAACATAAAACACAATTTATCAACAAATGTGAATGACAAAAGAAGTGTATTTCCTCCCAGTGAAAGCACTTTCCACTTTATAATGCCTTCACCTTTAACTGCAAAGCGTGTTTTCATGCTGCTGCTGTGATATCCAGGATATGATGTCAAACTGAACAAATACTTTTCTCTGTTTTCCCTCTAGCTTTCTGCGAGGAGGGTTGCAGGAGCGGCGGGACCTGTGTGTCTCCCAACACGTGTGTGTGTCCCTCAGGATTTACAGGACGCCGTTGTGAGACAGGTAAGACCGGAGGACGACTCCTTGTGATCCCTCGCCTGTCTGGCTTGTCCCCGCTTATTAGCGCTAAGCCGGAGCATCATATTGTTTTTATCATGACATCAGGAGCGGTCATTAGGTCGGTCTGAGGTCTCTCTCTCACTCTATCTTACACTCACACACACTTTCACACTTGATTGCTAAAGCCCTATGTTTGAATTGTACCCAGGAGAGCCATGCAAAATGACAGCTAATTTATCTCCCTCCTCCTTCATCTTTCTTCCTCTCCCTCCTCCTCATGTTCTTCCTTTCCTATTTTGTTATCCTCCACATCATGCTCTCCTCATCTTCTGTTCTTCATCCCTTCATTTCCTACGGCTCCTTCATTTTTCCTCTTTTTCCTTTTTATGCTTTTTTCGGTTTGTCCCTTTACTGCAGTGTTTCTCAAACTTTTTCACACCAAGGACCACTTAACCAATAAAAAAACACTCGCAGACCACCTAACTCCACAAATATCCAAAAACACATCGTTTTTTACAAATCGCCTGAAAATTGTACAAACAAGTGGCAACATGTGTGATGAAGGTGCTTATCTGGGCTATATCATGCAATTGAAAGTGAAACTTAAGCTTGTTCCATTGCGGAGATATTCCCGCGAGCGTGCGAAAAACTTAAATAAATGTATTTATTTCAAATGTGAAATGTTATCAATATACTCACGGACCACTAGGGGGCGCTCCCGGACCACCAGTGGTCCGCGGACCACACTTTGAGAAGCACTGCGTTTACTGCATTAGGTTTTTGTGCATGTAAATGGTCTGCAGAGGCTTATCTCCTACACACCCCTGCCTTGAACGCCTTGATTGGAATCCTTTGTTTACTTCCGTGACATCACTACAGGCAGTATGAGAAAAATAAATCGCTTTTTTTTACTTTAAAGTATGTAAACATGTCACTGTAGAGGCAGACATACAAATATGAAACCTGAAAATAAGCCCCTTTGAGTAACTGAACTGGAAGCCACCTTTGCATTCACTCATGTATATGAGAAATGTTGGGCCTGTGTGCAATGAAAAAGAAGAAGTGCACTCGAATATCACTGTTCTTTTTGAATGACCAGCAAAGTAATTACTTGGACGATGTGTGTTTCTACACCTCAAATTCTTGAAAATGCAAAAAATAATTAAAACCTTAGATTCATCATGCCATTATTTAACAACACTTTTTGCTTTGTTGTGGAGAAACAAACCTCAATAAAAAACGAAATATACGTTCAAACTGAACATTTGGACTCCTGAGAGGTAATCAGTGGCAATCAGCGTGCAACACTTTTTATGAAAGCAATCAACGGAAGACTAATTAGCCTCCCGATAAACAGCCTCAAATGTCTATTCATTAATTAACGAGGCAAGCTAATTCCTCAGTGTTGTTCCCTGAAAAAGACTTTTAATACCCAAAAGTAACATTCCAAAGATGCAACCTGGCACAGACTTTACATTGGTGCCTGTAAATGTAATTGTATTGGCTGACAAAATGTAGAATCATTTTTTTTGACATGGCTACTCTGTTTCTAAAAACCGTTGCCTTTCTTTGAACCTTTTTAAAGGGTATAAAAAACCATGCAGAAATGGAGAGTTCTAGTGAAGAGCAGATGAGGTGCAGAATGCAGCTCTCCTCCCTCATGGCACTAATGGGTCCCTGTCTGTGGCCCTCTGGCTGCTTCCTGAGGCCGCTACAGATGTGATGCTGTGCAAAATAACTGTATCTCTGAATCTGTGTCAGTCTCTGTGTGTCAAACTGTTTTTCTCTACGTGCATATCTCATTCTCAGAAGAACATGGTCTGATTTCTTCTCACTGTGTGCTAAAAGATGATAAATAACAGTGATAACATGTTAACAGAACCCTGATAACCTAGAAAGAGCAGACATCCTTATACCAAACTAGAAAAATATAAATTTTTGAAGAAAAGGTAGGAGGTAAATTGATAGGTAAAAAAAGTTTGATTGTGTGGAAGTAATATTTAAAATGAGGATTTGATTGAAACTATGAAAGAGTTTGAAGTGGCAGTGAAAAATAAGGTGCTAATGATCAGTGGCGTCGCCTGGCCTGGGCATTCGGGGCTTTAGCCCAGGTTTTTTCTGTAGCCCCGGACTATTCTCCCTCAATAATATAATACATTAACCGTGCTTTACCTGAACCTCATCATGACACTAGAGAGCACGGCAGGATTGTAATTTCCCGTGTTCAGTGAATGCCACAGAGGCTGCTTCCCTGATGGCTTCCTCAGGATTGTAGCTGACATTACATTACATTGCATTTAGCTGACGCTTTTATCCAAAGCGACTTACAATAAGTACATTCGACCAGGAAGACACAACCTTGAAGAAAACAGAATCATATAAGTACATCAGGTTTCATAGAGCCAAACATTTCAAGTGCTACTCAACTGGCTTTAGATAAGCCAGTCCTTTATTAGTATAAAAGTGCTTCGTTAATAGTTCTATCGCTCGAAGTGGAGTCGAAAGAGATGAGTTTTCAGTTTGCGCCGGAAGATGTGCAAGCTATCTGCCGTCCTGATGTCAATGGGGAGCTCATTCCACCATCCTGGAGCCAGGACAGCAAACCCACGTGTTTTTGCCGATGGGAACTTGGGTCCCCCTCGCAGCGAGGGTGCAGCGAGTCGTTTGGCTGATGCAGAGCGTAGTGCACGCGCTGGGGTGTACGGTTTAACCATGTCCTGGATGTACGAAGGGCCAGATCCATTCACAGCATGGTAAGCAAGTACCAGTGTCTTGAAGTGGATTCTAGCAGTTACCGGAAGCCAGTGAAGGGAGCGGAGGAGCGGAGTGGTGTGGGAAAATGTAGGAAGGTTGAAGACCAGACGAGCCGCTGCATTCTGGATGAGCTGCAGAGGTCGGATGGCACATGCAGGTAGACCAGCCAGGAGGGAGTTGCAGTAGTCTAGGCGTGAGATGACGAGAGCCTGGACAGGAACCTGAGTCGCTTTCTTTGTCAGCTGGGGACGTATCTTCCTGATGTTGTAAAGCGTGTATCTGCAGCAACGGGTTGTAGCAGCGATGTTTGCAGTGAAGGACAGGTTGTTATCTAGGGTCACACCCAGATTCCTTGCAGTCTGAGTCGGGGAAACAACTGAGGTGCCGATGTTGATTGTTAGGTCAAGAGTGGGACAATCTTTTCCCGGAAGGAAGAGCAGCTCAGTCTTGTCAAGGCTGAGCTTGAGGTGATGAGCAGACATCCACTGAGAGATGTCAGCTAGACAAGCAGAGATGCGTGCGACGACCTGGGTCTCTGAGCGGGGAAAGGACAAAATTAATTGGGTATCGTCAGCGTAGCAGTGGAAAGAAAAAGCATGCGGGCTAATGACTGATCTGAGCGAGTGTGTGTACAGGGAGAAGAGGAGGGGACCAAGAACAGAGCTCTGAGGGACCCCTGTAGTTAATTGACAAGGGTCGGACTCAGACCCTCTCCGAGTCACCCTGTAGGTACGGTCTTTCAGGTATGAGGTGAGGAGGGAAAGTGCAGAGCCTGAAACTCCAAGTTTTTGGAGAGTGCGAAGGAGGATCTGATGATTCACCGTGTCCAATGCAGCAGACAGGTCCAACAGGATGATGACAGAGGAGAGGGATGCAGTTTTGGCAGTGTGCAGTTCCTCCGTGACAGCAATGAGAGCAGTTTCTGTGGAGTGACCTGCCTTGAAACCAGACTGGTGCGGATCCAGAAGGTTGTTCTGATTGAGATAACAGGAGAGTTGTTTAAAAACAGCGCGTTCAAGTGATTTAGACAGGAACGGGAGGAGAGAGACAGGCCTGTAGTTTATAACATCAGACGGGTTGAGAGTGGGTTTCTTTAGGAGAGGGTTTACTCTTGCCTCCTTGAGACTGTTTGGAAAGTGACCAGAAGTTAGAGAAGTATTGATGAAATGGGTGAGAAACAGTAGAATATCAGGAGCGATAGTCTGAAGGAGGTTTGAAGGGATAGGGTCCAGAGGACAGGTGGTAGGGCGGGCAGAGGTAATGAGGGTAAGAACCTCACTTGGAGAGAGAGGGGAAAAGGAGGTTAGTGTGTTGGTGGAAGGAGGGTCTGGTGACCCCCGGTGAGTAAAGGTGAGTCAGAAAAAGAAGAGCGAATATCATCAACCTTTTTTTCAAAGTTTTTTGACAGAAGTGAGGAGGGGGGAGGGGCTTTTGGAGGGTCCAAGAGGGTGGAGAAGATGGAAAATAGTTTTTTAGGATTGGAATAGGAAGATTGGATCTTATCTTGAAAGAAGTGATTTTTGCCTGAGAGATCGAAGCAGAGAAAGAGGAGAGGAGAGCCTGATAGGTTAGGAGGTCGTCACGGTGTTTGGATTTCCACCGTTTCCGCTCTGCTGCCCTAAGGACGGTTCTATTAGCACGCAGTGCATCATTTAGCCAGGAAGCAGGAGGGGACTGACGAGCCTGCCGAGATGTGAGAGTACAGAGAGAGTCCAGAGTGGATGAGAGAGTAGAGAGGAGATTTTCTGCAGCAGAGTTTGGAGGCAGGAGTTGGAACGAGTCAGAGGAAGGGAGGGCTGAGAGCACCGATGAGGCAAAGGTAGAGGGGGAGAGGGAGCGAAGGTTACGGCAGACAAGTGCAGGATGAGAAGAGATTAGTTTGTTATGTTTGGAAAGGGGTAGAGAGAATGAAATGAAGAAGTGATTGGATGTGTGGAGCGGGTTTACAGAGAGGTTAGAAGTAGCGCAGTTCCTTTAGAATATGAGATCAAGGACATTGCCAGCTTTATGAGTCGGTGGGGACGGAGACAGTGAGAAAGCAAAGGCGGTTAACAGAGATGTTAGTTCGTCTATCTTCCCTGTCTGGAGGTTGAAGTCTCCGAGAAGTACAGCGGGAGGGCCAGTTTCAGGGATGTGTGAGAGGAGATTATCTAATTCCTCCGAGAAGTCCCCCAAGGCGCCTGGTGGACGGTAGAGAACAACAATGGTTAACTGTATAGGATGGGTTACTGTGACGGCATGGAATTCAA